CAAGCAAAAATATGGCAGAATATTTTCCTTTGTCTCATTTCCGTCCGAAACCCAAGTATGCGCGTTCGATCTTGGCAGGGTACGGTGGTTTTTCGAAAGGCAGAAAATCTTCGATATATGTTACTATGCCACGATCGTGGTATATAAAAGAATCCTGACAGGTGCCCTCAATATTAACTCCGTCTAAACGAGATCTCAAGCTCTTCTGTCCAGATCATTCGGATATAGTACACCGAGACCGACATCTGGCGGAGAAAATGAGTATCACATCTAGGCGTTGCAAGGGATGCCCACGGAGCGCACCCCTCCCAACGGCTGGCCGAAGGGAGCAATAAACTGTTCGCAAGGGTCGAACTGCAAGAAACATTGATGAAACATGTAATGATGGAAAATGCTAATGTAGCGTGAGCAAGTTAATCACATATTTCTATGAATAGAGTTCTACACGTACGTGTCTAGTAGTACAGAACATTCATGGCTATATCTACTTATTACACTTCCTAAATATGTAAATAATCGTCATATCATGAACCAATCATTTAAAATAAAATTATCACGTTTATGCTTAATTAACTAGGCCTTCAATATGTTGCACTTCTCTCTTAGTTAAGTGCTAAATATTACTTGCAATCTCCAAATTAACCTATTGACCTACTTTTTTTTACTCTAAGGCGATATCGGTATGTAAACTTAAATGCCTCCAAAATATTCTACTTATTTATTTCTGTTTTTGAACGTCGGAAAACACACGAAAGTGAAGGTATTTACATTTATTAAAATGCCAAAAACACAAATTCCTTTGTGACACTATATGTCGGTTAAACTTGATATACCTTGTGAGAATTGTAGTGATGGATAATACAATAGAAGGTGAATCGTCTGTAACTTGTAAATGACATCCTTTTGTTTTACACTGGTCAACAGCACTCTTGTAACAAAGAATGTGTATATTGTTCTTAGCAAAGGTTTCGACATTGAATTCGAATATGAAATCAGTTTTTGCCTATCGAGCTCAGTTTACTTGTGACACGCAAATTCTTATTTACGGGAATGGTTGAAAACGCTCAATGTCGGTTATTTTGCTTTAGCTTCATTTAATTATTCTGAGATAAATGTTCAGAAACAATCGAAATTGTACAAGGAATTCCTATAGATGACACTGAATTCAGAAAATTCATTTTAATCAATGATTTGGAGGGAACCAACGGAACACATAACAGGCTGTTATTTCCGTCCGACAACTCTGGCTGGAATCACCTCAAAACAAAGAAAACCGCAATATCCTAATTTACCATCTGCTACAAGGCCTATATGTCACAGTGAAGAATTGCCGTTACCACATCCTCCTAAGAAGAGGTGACATTGAGTGAAGATGAATGCTGCAGTAACGAACATTCAGAATACAGAGGTGATATCCATGCCAACGCAACATCTCAAGCCTCCTGTGAGAACTTGGATTTTAAACTCACACGGCCTTAAATGCAAACTAAAAACATTTGGACGTAGAAACCAGGAATTCAATAATCATTAGGGGGAATTAATTGCAAATACTCCGCATAAGTATCTCCATCATTTTACTTCAAAATGATTGGGAGCCAAGGCATGTTCTGAGACTCAAAACTATTCTGTCCACCTCACTCTAAGCCTGCTTCCTGTAGCTTGTAGGCTTACCTGCTTTGCAGCTTATTGGCATGATAGAGCTATTTCTTGTGGTATATGGTAATCCTATTTTAAGTCTTAATCATTTCAATGTCTTCCCAGCTTTCCCTCCCATTAAACGAGACATTATACATATGTATACATTTTGTATCTCTTCGGGTGCACCCACCTTCGAAACTATTCCTAGTCTCCCCATCCTTCGTAAGCATATCGATCATCTACTTTAAATCCCCAAGTCAGTCGAAGTGCGGAATTGCCTTTCGGTATATTTTGGGGCATATATGTAACTATCAACTGTCTTGTCTTTGTGTCTTAGATTGGCACTTTGCATCTCATAGCTAGACTGAGAAGAGCTCTTAAGGAGTTCATTTGGGAAGACATCTCACTCGTCGTTTTCTCAGATTCCTGGTACTGCACTGGGTGTGTTAAGATATCACATTGTGTAATCCCATGAACATTTTTTTTTAAAATGCCTCGCCACAACATCATTCAACGTATAATAGTTATGTGGTTTTTCTAAATACGGGCATTTTGGGGTTGATATTAGATAATTTGCACCCGATGGAAGCTAACTTATCTGTTCATTAATTAGATAATTGCTTACAATTTGTATACTTCACATATATTTACCTTACTGTTCCACAGTCTTAATTTTTGGGTTGGATATCCTTCAAATATATCCTAGTAGCACACGGTTAAGGCATGTTCTATTTCACTGAATATCCTTCGAGGTAGCCAAAATAATTTGATATTCTTGAGCCATATGCATGACATATATTTCCATGGAAACTTAGACAGTATAGGTAAATAAATTGATGTGTGTTAAAAGAGTGCACCTTGGACAACGTTGAAGATTTTATCTTGCGTACACAATATTTTAATGAAGGGCCGTTGAATTTAGAGCTTCACGGCGTTGGCATTCAAAGTACTGAGCGTGGACAATGCAGTCGTCTTTCTATTTAGTATATTACGTCTGGCTCCTTACAAATGCGCGTTTGTTTAGATTTTTGTGAAGAATAAATTAAGACAGACTTTTGATGCCTACAAAAAGTAGATTCAAAGTGAAAAGTGATAAAAATAAAATTTGTATTTGTGTGGAGATATCTGTAGTTCATTTAATATTCGTTCATGTTTTGCTATTTTGAACCGCACCCCCAAAATATTCTTTAGAATCTACAAGATTATTAAAAACTCCCATTATAATAAAAAGTATTCGATGTCTGCTCTAGATAGAACGGACACATTGGCTGGAGGATTCATCTTTTTCCTGACCGTATCTTACATCGTATTGTTCAAAACAGAGGGGTTTCGTATTTATCGTACATCGTATGGGCTGTAACGAATAAATTAGATTTCAATGGCTTAGTAAAACAATGTTATTTTTAGTATACAAACATCTGCCCCAAAGAAACAGCCTTTAAAACGGATTTAGGTGTCCTAAAAACTCCTTAAACATCGTGTTTTTCGCATTTTTTATATACTTCTTAGAAACGAAAGAATATTTAACGATATTTTAAGCGCCATTTGTCTGAGGTGGGGCCGACTAAATCCGATAATCATGTCCTGATTAAAAAAAACTGTGCTTATTTGAATTAAAGTCTGTGCCACTTGAATATGGTAAATTTGGTAAATTTTACGTTACGACCATAAAAATATATAATTTTTAAATGGAAATAATTTCATGAATTGTTCCAAAATACCTGTGGTTTATATAGCATTAAAGCTTAGTATCTCTATTTTAAGCATCGTCCTTCCAACAATTTAACTTCTTTCTCTGCAATCGGTGCCAGCACTGTCAACGGCTCACATATGGACCGTGCAGCTGCGTCCGTTTTCTTACTCTCCGTAGGCTGTGCTTAACATGTTTAGACGGTTTTTGTCGGGTTTAAAATTATTATATTTTAGAAAATACTATTTTTTCTTTATTTCGTTGAGCCTGAGCCTCGCCTGAGCCCCACACGCCGCTCGGGCGCGCACCAGGCAATTTAAGGCATTCTCGTTAATCCCTTTTGAACGGCCATCCTTTCTGTTTCCAACAGTCTTCTCCATTTCAAACCCTCAGAGTTTTGACAATTTTTACATTTCCATGCACAAGCTGCCCGCTCGCAGAAAAACATGCAGCACACGGCGCGGGGCGCGCGAAGGCTTCACGGGTGGAAAATGCGAAAAACACATGAAGGGCAACGTATGGACTAAGTGTATGGACGTTTAACAACACACCGAAGTTGTGTTTCTCATATTTATGAAGGTATTTGAAATGACAGTACTGGTTTCATGTTCCAAAGCATTTTAGCATATACGAGTTCCCAACATTCCAGAAGCATTGCATACCCGTTCCCAAGGCCCGATTAGGCAGATGCTCTATTACCGCAGGTGCACATCGGCGCGCACGCGCACAGGTCGTCAGGAGCATTGCTACGAGGCTTCCCAGAAACTCCCCTGCCCATATTGCGACTGCCCGGCGCGGAAGGGCTTTATTCCCGAGAGCTTCCACCAATATTCTGTGAGTCTTGGGGTACGTGCACTGCTCGAAACATGTTACATTCACCTCGTACGGTGGTAGTCGGATTTCGCGTTGCTTGCTGTGCTAATAGAGACTCTCACAGAGCCATCTGTTCATGAAAACACATCCTATGCTGCATTACTTTTACAAATGAAATTGTGCGATTCGGTAACATTTCTTTTAGGGAAAAAATAGTTGCTATGATTCCTGCCCTATCGCTCGTATATATATATAATATAGGTTCCCAGCCTTATCAGACCCTAGCCCTGCCTTGGCGTTTCAGCCTTGACGCCCATGGGGGAGGGAGACCTGTGGTAAGTAGATCGCTACCCCTTACGCTATTTATTGGGCATTCTCTTTACCTTCAACATGCTTTCACCTTATCTACCAGCTATATGTCAGTGAAAAGTGACAGTTATTCGTATAAACAACAAACACTGGAACTATCGTATGGTGGTATAAATGGCGTAGAGGCTATAACTAATGGCATAAATGTGCCTGTGAAGAATCAGATGGATGGAACTCCTGTTTCTTTCGGAAGGTAAACAAACCTGCAGGTACTACGTGGTAGATTTACAGTATATTAAATTCTTCTACTCTGAGTGCATTTCTGCTCAGAATATTTTAGGAAACATTTCCATCATACGTCCATTAAATTCAGTGGGATGGGAGGCCGAGGTCTCTCGTTTTAACAAAATTGGATCTTTTTGTACGAAATGTGTAGTTTCCGCTACGAATTCTAGTGCCGATGGGATTTCTCTTTAAGATACGTTATGATCCGTCCACGGAACTCGGCCCGGTCGAGAAACTGTTCTAACCACGTTCTTCGTACTTTCAGATGGCGAATATCTGTTCGTCGACCCAGAGAACAAGCTGTCCAAGTACGCGCCCAAGAACTGGAAGGCGTCGCACGGCCACGTAAGTAGCTCTCGAGGGCGTCGTCCCTGAGGATACCTTGCACGAGAGCCCTCGCTGGGGAGATGTATGTGCGTCAGTTGTATGTTCGTTCGTTCGTGTGTTCGTGTACAGGGCGTCTAAAAACTTGGAGATAAACGTAGACACGAAGAATCTAGTACATCGCAGCTCACCTAATCTAGTTGCGGTGTGAGTTGAGAAAATGTGAGCTGTAATGAGATCAAACCAATCAATCTATGTTATGTACCAAATCAATCAGTGTCATAAATTAATTCACTGCATTATATGACATTACGGGATTTCTCAATTGACTAAATCATTTTGTTCAAACTCGTAAGTCGATTTCTATGAATGCAAGGAGAATCATGTGTAGTAAACGTGAACATTGGCTGAGGCAAAAATTGTGGAATGGAGTTGGGAAAACATTACTCATCTGCCAGAACCTCCTAAACGTCGAAGCCTCGCCTGTGGTAATATCTATTGGATCCTGTCCCTACAGAAGGTATTGGAGAGACGGTCGGACGATTCCTAGTATTTCCGTAGCTCAAAACTCGTGAAGCAGCTTGCTAACTTTCGCGAGCGGGCGGGTGCGTTGGCGAGCGCGTGCATGGGCGTCGCGGTGCGTGAGCGCTCGAGCAGGTGCAAAAGAAAAGGCTGTCTCCACTGGCAGAGGATCTGAAACCCAGAAAATCGGTGATCGACAAGCAACACGTTCAACAATCGTTCGGTTCAACAATCTTCGGAAGGAAAAATACAGTATCCAATGTGATACTACAGTGTCAGTGATACTGTAACGTTCCTCGTGGTGAATTAAAACCAACAGAATATGTAAACAAAAACGTTTATTCGGTGAACAATCATACACTAAATATACTTGGTCTATTTACAAATATATTACACTTATTATTTTTTTTCCTTTACACACGATTCGTTCTCTTGATGATTCATTTCCACAAATTCACTCCTTACACACTATTTATTTTTACACAGTTCTTCTTCTTCTACAGTATCAGCCAGTCAATGCCTGTCCACGGTCCACTGCACTTGACCCAATTCCTGCACAGAACCAAATTCCCTGCGCAGACCACATTTCCTTGCGCAGACCACACTTCACTTGCGCACACCAGGGTCCACTGCAGCTGCTGTTACCGCGATGCCCACTTCACAGCTCAGCTTCCACTGCAGACTTCAACTGCTGACTGCTGTTCAACCGCTGCACCACTGCTTACGCGATGCACCCTTCACAGCTCAGCTTCCACTGCAGACTTCACACTGCTGACTGCTTGTTCAACCGTTGCACCACTCTTCACCGCAATGCACATTTCACAGCACAGCTTCACTTCGGACACACTGACGGACTGACTGCTTCTCTGCAACTCACTGACGCCTTACTACCCACTGCTTCTACTCACGTCTTCTACTGACTTCTTCTACTAACTGACTCGCGGCCGCCGGCAGCGGCGCATTTATACCTGCTCGCGCGCTGTCTCCAGGCACCGGCATATTCTCGGCGTTTCTCCGCGCTTTTTTCCGGGGGGGCCGGGGGATAGTTTTTTTTTCCCCCCGGAAACCGTTTTTTTTCCCTAGTTCGGGGGAACGGGGGGGGAAGGCAGATGACGCAATCCGCGCGCAACGAATTCCGGCATGTGATGCAATATTCGTAACAATACTGACAGTGTCGTTGTGGAGAACTGAAATATTGGCGATATAATTAATATTCATCAGAAATAACGAATATTAATACGCGATTGTGAATACACTTTCGAACTGGTTCGTACAAGTTCAGTTTTTAAAATGTGATATATTGCCACAAAACGGACATCTGTCTTCTCAACTTTGTAAAAAGATAGTCATTTGAAAATGCAAATTAACTATATATCTATTCTAGGACAAAAGAACAACAATGGTCAACTCAAATTTGTCCTAAAATAAAGTTTTCAGCGAGTTGAAGTGACTGATCCTTGGAGGACACCTGTGTTCTTTATATGTCGAGTATATTAACTGTGAATTCTCTTTTGAAAATGAAACATATGATTTTAATTTTATATTCTCGGGCTCTCAATCGATGTATGCCACACACTATGGATTTGTAAGCAATACTCATATGAAGAAATTCCTTTCTTTATGGAACACATGAGAAATACTCTTTGTTCGACTAAATAATTGGCGAGTGGTGAATGCTTTTATTCAATACCAAAATGGAATCATTTAATGGATTTTGAGTCTATTACGAAATTGATATATCTGCTGAGGATCGACATTCAAAAATTTTGAATGTAATTGATAGGAAGCTCATTGGTTTATATCTCTGAGTGTTAGGGTTTTATGCTAGGTTTAAGCATTGGTTTATAGCCTTCTTCTATTCTGTGGAGTAGTAGTAGTTAAGTCGTAATGGAGATTAAATCGCTGCTAGTGTCGCAATTACTTTTTGTCTAATATTTTTCTAATGAAATTGCTGATTCCATTAATCGCCAGGGATTAATTTTAATTTCCACAAGTTGCTAGACATTTCTTACGGAGCTGCACCGTGACGATCTCTTGTTTAAGTAGTTCTCGGTTTGGTTGTTGAAGACTGTTTTCATCGCATATTTTCAGTTGTAGTTCCTACTGTTAGTGGTGGGATGTTAGTTTCATTAGTCATGGTACTGTAATCATTTAACAGTAGACCATAGATATATAGATTTGGGATATATTTCTGCAATATATCCTGTTATTGTAACGAATAATATCTAGTCGTTGCGTCATTACTGTCATCAGCTTGTTTTGATTTTGCTTAATTGGCAATACTGTTCTGAATTGGTAAAAGTATTTGAGAGATGATCTATTTCACAATCGAGTTCTTGAGTATATGGTTGGTTTTTGTGTCTATTTAGAGTGTCACTCATTAATGCATTTGTCGCAGATCGTAAACTCAACGTCCACTATTCAAAGAGATGGCAGATCCTTTGGCAAGCGCACGTGATAGCGATCACTGGACAGAGGTTTGCTTTCTGGCAGAATGATCTGCTGAGGGGAAAGTATATCTTTGGTCAGTGTCATGTGTGCCAGTGCCATTTTAATAACATTAGGGGCGCTTGGGCCTGAGTTAATTTGGGGATATCTATTCTTACTTTCACCGATCTCCCCCTCCCACCCCCCAATTTCCATGCTGAAATATAAAGAAAATCTTATCAGTTTACATTGTATTTTGTAATTTAAAAAATGTTTTGAAAGTACTTCGTAGTGTTTCAATTTAAACGTATATGTATAAGTAAGCAAGAATAACAGGTTTATAATTACATTGAAAAAAGGCTACAAATTAAATAAAGACAAGTTTTATTTAAAACTTCTCATAACTGAGTGATATTTCCGCATCAATTAGTAACATTTCGTATTATAAATATTATCCAAAGATGCGCAGCACACCACTCCAATTTGTTGCGCGAAGTCATACATAACTTTTTATACGGCTTTTTATTTTATTTTTTGAAAATAAATAGTATTAATTTTTTTTTTTGGATCTATCGGAGGCCCTTGAACATGGGCGCCCGGAGCCCAGGCCCTTCGCTCCTGTGCGTTCACACGGCACTGCATATCATTTGGGGACTGCAATATACGCACAGCTCAATAAATCAGGTGTTGAGATAAATGAGTTTGAAGTTTTCACCTTGTATTGAAATGTAGCATTCCTGCATTCATACTCCTGTCATTTGTTGGTGGAATACTCTACTGTAAAAAAAAGCTGCTGTTGCTGCAGAAGGTAGATATTGTAGTCTGCAATTCTGCAGAGTGCTTAACTGAAAATTCATATTTTTTGAGTTATGCCAACAGTGCAGCCCACGAGCGAAATGCTTTCGTAGCGCTCCCTCGTAAGCCCCGTTCAATGAACAAATCTATTGCTATTATAATGCGGAGTGTGGTTGGCTGCGCGGCGTCGGCGTGGCGTCGGGCTGTCCGCCCGACAACGGGATGGACGCCGCGCGGACGTGCGCGCAGCGGCCAGGAAGCATGCGAGAGGCCTGCCACTCTGTAATCACTACTCGGTTTGGAAAAATAGAATAAAACGCGAGGACCGTGGCTGGCCCGCGGGTACATCTCCCAGTCTTCTTGTTCCCGATGCAAAGAAAACAAAACCCCCGACAAACGATTACAGTAGGCCGGGGGCGGGCGCGCAAGGCCCGCGTTGCACCATGCCACGCCATGGCTCACTAAGTCACGCTACGCCGCGCCACATCACGCCTCGCCACACCATCCCATGCTTTGTCATGACACGCCACGCCATCCCCGCACCACGTCGCGCCATAGCTTGCTGTGACACACTTTACCCCTCCAACCCTCGCTTCGCCTCGCCACACGACACCACTCCACACCATCCCATGCCTTGCCTTGCTATGACACGCTACGCCGCGCCACGCCACGACAAGCCACGCCAAACCACGCCACGCCACACCACACCACACCAAACCACGTCACGCCAAACCACGCCACGCCATCCCATCCCATTCCTTGCCTTACCTTACCTTGCCACGACACTACGCCGCGCCCCGCCTTACCATGACACGCTGCTCCGCCATGACACCCTGCGCCGCGCCGCAAGACACCACGCCTTGCCATGAGACGCTACGCCGTGCCACGCCACCCTGCGCTGCACCACGTCGCACCAGGCAACGCCATAGCTTGCTATGAGACACCATACCGCGCCAATCCTCGCCTCGTCACACCACACCACCTGTGCCTTACTTTGCCATGACACCGTATCCCACGCCACGCCAAGCCACACCATCCCATGCATTGCCTTCCCATGACACCCTGCGCCGCGCCACGCGAAGCCACGCCAGTAAAATTGGTGTAAGAGAAACAGGTTATTCTGAAGCACTATAGTGTTCATTCTCATTTATTCACTTGTGTAGCTCTCAAAGCTGAGAAAGAGAGGGGGACATAAATACACAACCCTCACATACAATTGGTTTTGCACTGGTATTCTGCTTACCATCACTGATGTTCTCGTGCCCAGTAACATATCA